AAAAAAAAAAAAAAAAAAAAAAAAAAAAAAAAAAAAAAAAGGTGGACTTTGAAAGCTCAGATCTGTCGCTGGAGGTCATGAGTCCTGCCAAACCACACTGCAGACTATACCATTTCTATTTACAAGTGGGCGGACGACTGGTGGCTGCCAGGTGGCATCTGACCCTACCTGTTGTGAGCCGTCTAGGGCCAGGAACTCTCACTGGAGAGGACAACTGTGTTCTGCAGCCTCGGTCACTAAACTTGAGGCTGGTCTTGAGGGTCTGCAGATGAAGTCCTTAATAAAGAGAGGACAGAGGACCCTGAATCCTGGTAAAATCCCCTTGAAGGTGCCCTTCTCCCCTCTCTGAAAGGCAAAGAACCGGAAATACCCCTGCCTGGGACCCCTCGCCCTGTCCAGCTTTCCCATAGAATTTAAGCAGATCTTTCTTGGAAACACTAGGGTTGTTGCCTGGGGCTCCTGTGAGGTAAGAGAACAGGAGGGCCAGGCTCCAACTTCTAAGCAGCTGCACTGCCTCTGCCCCCAACCAGGTGAGGCCAGGCCCTCCTGCAGGCCTCTGCAAGCTGTCCATCCATGATGGAACATAGCTCTCTCAGCTATGCAGCAGCAGGGATCATGGCAGCAGAATGGACACCAGCTTCTTCCTGCTATGGCAGACCCCAGATCTCTGGGCTATAGCAATGGCTGTTTCCCTAGAAACAGGGCCCTAGATGCAGTGGTTGCCATGGAGACGAAGACCTGATAGGAATGAATAGCAGCAGCATCCCAGCCCGTCAATCTGGCTCACAGTGTGGGGACACTGCTTGGTGCTGGAGGCAGGTGCAGCTGCCCATCAGGCCATCAGCGGGAAAGGCTGTCATCGAAAGCCAGTCCCCGGTTTCTACAGCCACACTCAGTGGCCAACCCCGGTGCTGCCAAGGAGGAGGCCTCAGAAAATCTTGAAGCCCTTCAGGAGGGTGAGGGTGGGCGCCTTGCGCTTGCTCTGGGCGCGGGATGACTTCACGGTGACCAGCTTGGCCTGGGCCATGGTGGGCATCTCCTTCAGACTGACAGTGGACAGCGTGTTGAAGGTGCAGCTGGCCAGCCCATGCCGGGCAGTAAGTGGTGCCTGGTGCGTAGGGGCCCTGTCCTCGGAGATGAAGAGGGGCCGGGCGGGGGGGCACCTCTCCAGCTCCCGCCGAGCCTCCCGTACCGCCTCGTGGAACACATGCTGCACATGCTCGAAGTCCAGACAGGCGGAGACCTCGAAGAACAGGCACCCGAACCTGCCAGCCAGAGCCGCACCCTCGGCCTTGGTGACCTGCCTGGTGGGGAGCAGGCGAAGCAGAAGCAGTGAGTCAGGAGGGGCCACTCCAGGCCAGGAGGGGCGGGTCCTGCCTCAGTCCCTGCCTCCTGGCTGGGGCTGCCTGCATCTTCATCCCCCTGAGCCCGTTTTCTCGTCAGCACAACGGGATTGTGACATTGGCCTCTTGCGGTTGTCAGGATTTAGAAAAGAGGTCCTGAGTGGTTAGCACGGTACCTGGTTCAGGTCAGTGCTCAATGCATAGTGGTTGATAAACTGAGGATGAAGGTTAGTGAGGAGCTGGCCAAAGTCCCCCAGAAAGACCTGCCTGTGACCAGAGGAAGACCAGGTCCAGTCTCCTCTCTCTCTACTCCAGCACAGGTCCCTCGATCAGGAGATGAGCCCAGGTTTGAGAAAAGCAGCTGAATGGACCAGAGGCGACTTGAGAAATCTGTGGCTGGCAGACTTGGACTCATGGGACTTGTGGGAACATCTGTCTTCCTGCCCAGGGAAGGGGCAGGGAGAGCAGGGAGACACAAAGAGGGGAGGCAACACCTCTCCCCACCTTGTCGTGTGATGACAGGATGGAACATCTGAGGATGGGAAGGTTCTAGAAGCTTCTGACCAAAACGCCATGCAATGGAGGTGGGGGAAACAGCAGACTGGCTCTTAGGAGGGAGAAGACAGGGTCCCTGAAGTCTGGAGGCCAAAGTCAAAGCTGCTCGGCTGCTCTACCTGCCATTTCCAGGGACAGTGGCACAGCCCAGGAGATGACGGAAGACCCCAGTGTGGGCCCTAGTGAAAATGGGCATTGCTCACCCGTGGCAGGAGCAACAGAGGGAGCAGGTGACTGAGACCCACAGGCAGAACATCTGACCTCCCACATACACATACCCTGGGGCTGTGATGGTCTGCGCCCCCCACTCCCTGAGGAAGCCCTTTGGAAAGGGAAGTCGCTGAATCTGCCTTCCTAACAAGCTTAAACCTGAACTCTGTCCTTGCAGGACGTGACTGATGAATTTTCAGAGACTCAAGCCTGCGTATGAGGGGTGACAGGCACGGTCCTTTTTTCTACTGTCCCAGCCCTGATGAACTTATCAGGGCTCAGGAACCACTGCTCTAACCGCATTCCCACCTTGTAGCTGCAAGACAATCATGGTGGCCTCGACCACAGGGCAGCTAGAACATCCAGTGGGCCATCGGGTCCTGATCGGCTAATGCTTCGATGTGACCCAAGCAAGTGGGAGATGAACTGTCACGATTTATCCTTAGGAACTAACGCCGTGTCACTCAAGCCCTACAGTCCCGGCCAGTTGCTCCCAAAGCATTTTGAGGCAATCTCTTTGGCAAAGAACAGTGATCAGCAGGTTAATTCCCCATATTGAAAACTGCCCTATTCACAACTGGATCTTCTGACCCCTCCCTCTTCTGGGCCCTGCGATTCCTCAGACCCCGCGGTGACTTTAGTATCACAAGCCCCCTGGGCCGCTGACGGTAGGCCCCCTTCAGGAAACCACAGCTCCCTTCTCCCACTGCCCACCCAACCTGTGCAATACCAAAGTCCCCACCAGTCACGGGCTCTAGGGCCTAGGAAAGCAGGAGAGAGCAGCTTGAGAAGGGAGGGCTAGGTGGATGGTGGGGGATACCTACCACCCAGGACAGTGGCTTCCAGGGAGACCAGTGGGACTACTCGCCTAGTGTGGCATCCCAGTCTCCACTGCCTCGGGGCCAGGAGGTGATGAGAATATGAGGAGATGCTGGAGAGAAACCTCAGGGAGCAGTGAGGCTGTGGTCGTGGGGAGGGAGCAGGCCTCACCCCTAAACATTCCAGTTCCTGTCTTGTCAAACACTGTGCTGGCCAAGCAAAACATGGCTGCAGACTCTGTGGTCATCCACCCTCTGGCCTGGTCCCGACCTCTGGCCCAAATCCAGCCTGTCTAAGGAACTCAGCACAGCCCTCGGCACAGCTGCGGGGGGGCTGCAGTGGGGTGGGGCAGAGCTGGCTGGACCAGAGCAGCCACTGACCTGAGGGCCCCTCGGAGCCTGGCCCTGGAATGGAACTGGGCCCTGAACCCAGTCAGCTGCTGGGGTGGGACCAGAAGGTCACGCCGGCTCAGGCAAGAAAGGGCGAGGCCGAGAAAAACCACAGAGACCCATGAGGATGGAAGGAGTGGCTTCTCTTCTGACATTTGGGGTCCATTCCCTGGCTGCTGCGAAGCCCAAGGGACACCTTATGCTCCGAATACCATCCTTTTACCCCTGTGCAATTGTCCTCACAGCAGGTAACTAATCCCATGGGGACTTGCCGCACACTCACCTGTACTGGGCCATGTCCAGCTTGTTGCCCAGCAGCAGGGCCGGGTAGCTGCGCTGCGTCTCCTTAGTGTGCAGGGCGAGCAGCTCCAGGTAGCTGCTGCTGCCCTCGAAGCTCTGGCGGCTGTCCACGCTGTAGACTACCAGGAAGGCATGGGCCCAGTTCAGGTAGCGCTCGCAGTTCCTGGGGGTATCCTGCAGCGAGGGGAGGAGTCCACCCGGGGGCACGGGCGGGCGCAAGAGTTCATGGGCAGTGGGATAAAGACCTTCACCTGCGCAGTCCCCCGTTTCCCCATGCCGGATCTCTGTATATTGTTTCCCACCCAGGCCCTTTTCAAAGGAGCACTTGAATGTGAACTTGGCTTGGTGTGAAAGGAGGCACTGTCTTGGGACCCCGGCTCTACCAGCACCCAGCCAGAGCCTTGGAGACCTTGGCTGCTTGGGCACAGAGCCAAGAACTTGGCACAGCTCCTACAGCAAGCTGCCGTCTCTGGGCACTGCTGATTCAGGTCAAGTTCATGCTGCCCTCTTGGCTGCTGAGAATAACTGGCATCTGGCTTTGGCAAGGGAGCGGGTGAGGACGTGGGGGAGATGACGGAGGGGCTCTCACCAGGAGCATTTGTGTAAACAGGTGTGTACCTGCCTGCCTATGTGCACAAGTGAACAGCTACACCACACAGGGTCCCCGAGCTTCTCACTGGGCCAATGAAGAACATGGGGTCAGGGAAGTCTGTGCCCCATTTAGGATCATGCAGCAAGTTGGACTTTTAAAGGGATCCTACATTCCTGCCCGCCCATGGGGATGGGGTAAGGTTACCGGGTCTGCAGTGTCCATGACCCTCAGGTGGATGGGCTGGTGGTCCACAGTCTCCTCGGAGCTGTAGGTGTCCTCTACAACACAGATGGTCAGCCAGGTGAGGGGCAGGGCAGGCCGCTCCATAGGGAGCGGGGTGTGAGTCACAGCTGGACCCCCATGCAGACTCGAGGGGCCCCGGGAGTGGCTACAGGCTCAGCTGGATGCAGAACTCCCACCAAACAGGCGCTGCTTCACCTGCAGGGCTCAGAGCATCACAGGCCACAGGCAAAACATCCCGAGGAACAGGCCAGCAGGGACCCGGCTAGCAGCACAGGCTCAGGAGCAGCCCTGCCAGCCTGCTTCCCCAAACCCCAAGTCTCTCCACTGTGTGCCTTTCCTACACCAGTACCCAGCTAACGGAAGAGTCCCAAGGTCCCTTTCACCCCAGCGGGAGTGGAGATGAGGGAAAAGAGAAGCACATGACATTGCGGATGGAGGGCTGTCTGACCCTGGAGAAGCTCCAAGAGGGTTTTACAAATAATCCTTGTCCTTCTAACGGCAGAAGAGTTTTCAGCTGCAGATGTGGAACCAAAGCCAACTTTAGCTACTTTTTAGCTGTGTACTTGGGCCAAGTCAGTTCAGTTCTCAGGGGACTGAAATCATCTTAAATGGGCATAATGTGGTGACAGTGGTCAACAGATCCCAAGCTTTTCCTCTGTGCCAGGTGCTGTGCTGAGTGCTTCTTCCTGGCCTGCACTTTAACAAACCCATCTCCCAGGGACATGCGAGGCCTGAATGGGCACAGGGGGCCGGTACCACCTGGAAAGGGGAGGGGCTCGGGGACCGACAAAGTGGACAGGGCAGGCTCCCACTCCTAGTTGATTTTTTTTCTTTAGAAATAATTTCAGACTCATGAGTTGCTACATAGTGCAGTGTTCCTGTGCACATCTCCCTAAGCTGCCCCAACCCTAATACCTTACATAACCCTAGCACGATTACCAAACCCAGGCATCCACACTGGTACTCTACCATGAACCAAACTGCTGACCTTATTTGGATTTCACAAGTTTTTTTAGCATTATTTTTTCCATTTCTTAGGACCTCAAATTTCAGAAAGCAGCTAGAGGTCAGTGGTCCGGCATGCAAATAGGACATCACTGCCATACTGGTGATGGGTCTCCCCACCCCCAATCTTCCAGTAACTCCAGCTCAGTACACACCTTTCCCTGGGGGTCACCCAGGGCATGTCCCCCCGCAAGACCTCCCTGGTACAATGGAGATGCTCTCAGCCTCCCTGGAGGCACAGCCAGGCTGAAAGTACAGCCACATACTTCCCTGAGTGCCGCTGTGAGCCAGGCAGCCTGGACACACTCCAGGGCCCTTAGTATCCAGCATGAATCACAGATAGCGCCTTGTCCCCAGCCTGCTTCAGGGACTTGGATAAATAGCTGCTCTTATGCAAAGACAAAAAAAAAAAAATCAAATGGAAAACATGCCCCAAATGTTTAACTATATTTGGCCCAAGAAGAGCTGTCCCTAGATGCCGATATCATGTTGTCTTTAGGTTCCTGGCAACGCTATCCTGTGCACCCCTTTTAGGTGCTCCCCCCAAAGCAGATGCAAATTCCCGCCCAGTTCAGCCTTGGTCCCCTGCTGTGCAGTGCAGCCTCAAGCCTTTCACTTGCCCAAGCCACACAGTGCCCTATCATAGAAGAGACTTGAACTTGGCTCCCCACCTGGACCCCACACTCCCCAACTGCTTGGTGGATCAGCTCTGAGCAGAGGGCAGGGAAGATGAGAGATGCTCAGTCTTTCCCAACACGGGGCACCCTGGAGTCCTGAAATATCCACACTGCCTAACTCCTAGCACTCATTGATATCCTAGCACCTTAAGGTTGAGGAAAGAGCTCTGTCCCAAAGTATTTTTCTGTCATTTACAGCAACAATCATTTTTTAAAAGGCAGCCAAAAAAGTTCTGGTCAGAGTGTGCACGTTCTTGCTGGAACAGAGTGAAAACAAGAGAGGGCAAAGCAGGCACCATCCCCACCTCCTCTGAAAGAGCAGGGCCCTGGGGACCTTTGTCTCTTCCCAGGGGCTCAGCACAGGCAAAGCCCTTCGCAGGGGATCTCTCTGCTCCTGTCAGCTCTGTTGCAGCCACAGCACAGCACAGATGTGACAGTGACAGAGCTCAGGCTGTTAGGCCCATCTTCCAGACAGGGAAACAGGTTCAGAGAGCACAGTGCGACATGGACCCCTGACCAGGCCCCCTGTAACATAAGGCTGCCCCTACTGAACACAAACAGAGTGGCCCTTTCGCTTCCTTTGTATTGAGGCTCTCTATAGTCTCAGGTAAATCACTGAGTCCTCTGTGCCTGTTTCTCTGCCTGAAAAATGGGTGATAATAACAGCTTTTCTTTTAAGGATAATCCTAAAACCCAAAATTCAGCCCCCACTGAAGAGACACTATGTTGTGCCTCATACTGTGCCCCTTGTTGGAACTAAGCTCGAATCTCTGCCCCAGGGGCCCCCAAATGCACCTAAGCTCTTAGGAGACCCTGGAAAGCGCTAAAGAACTGTCTGCCAACATCTGTCTGAGGTGCAGCCTCCCCCGCATCCCAGCTTTCTCCTCAGAAGGACATGCTTGGGTCCCACAGTCCCAGCTGTTGCTGGAACCAAGAGAGGACAGGAACTGGCAAGCTGAGACAGTTCTCAGCAGTGAGATGGAGCCCCGGGCATGGCACTGACCCCCCAGAAAGTCTCTGCAGCTCAGGGCGGTGACTAAGCACTTCGGCCCAGCCCCCCTCGTCTGACCACACATTCCAGCACCAGGTCAGAACCTCAGTTACTCAACCAGGAAGCACAAAGCACCCTGAAACAGGCTCATCCCCGGGCCCTGGTGCAAGGTATGGACTGGGAACAGGGAAGGGGATATGTGGGAAGTGGGTTTCCAGGAAGAGCCAGGATGCCCAAAGATGCCTGAATGTCAGGGGCACCAGAAGTGATTTTTAGTACAAGCAGCCTGCCTGCATTATTTGAACTGGGAAGAACGTCCTTGGGAATGCCCCTTGTGCCCTCCCAGACACCTGCCTGCCCGTGCTTCTTTCCTTCTTGGCCTCCACCTTCTCCTGCCCTCTGTTCCTCCAGCTCTCTCCTCTCCTAACCCCTGCCTCAGCTAGCCTAACACTGCATCCCATGTCCTGCTCCCTCAGGAGGTGACCTCTGCTGATGGAAGTCCTGGGAACTGTCACCACATTGCCTGTCCTACAAACCCAACCTAACCAGGGAATCCCTCCAAATTCTCTTTGACACCCTGGGTTGTGTTAAGATCTCTTTGGAGGGATTATTTTATTCATGAAAAAAAAAAATAGGACTAAGGTCCCCTGAGGACCCCCTGCTCTGGCACCAGGACTCAGTACCCTCACCCAAGCTGAACAGAGGGGCTAGCGGGCACCAATGGGCTCAGCTCTTTCCCCTGGGCAGCCTCGTGGCATTTCACAGGGGCCTGCTGCGCTGGGTGCTGCACCACTGGGAGATCCAGCCTGTGTCTCCGAGCCCTGGGTCTCCCTGCAGACCTCCTAACAATGCTTTTCTCAATTTCTATCAATGAGGAAGTAACCCCATTTTCAAAAGCCTAACATCATTCAGACACCCTATTGGACCCAGGAGATGGTTCACACACACAAAAAAAAAATGTGACTGCCCAGTGGAGCACACTATATTCCCCACGTGCAGGAGGCTGAGGCAGGACGATCATGAGTCTGACTGAGGTCAATCTGGGATACACAAGACTGGACTACACAGTGAGACCCTATCTCAAAACAAACTAACAACCCCAAACAAATGAAAAGTTGTAAATGTGAGATGTAAGTCACAGTGGTACAAATAAACGCTGCTTTTATTTAAGTATTAAGGTTCTACGTAAGAAGTTATTCTAGGAAAAGGTCTTGTGGCTAAAAATATTTTCAAAAACAATGATCTGCTCAATCTGAGATAATCTTAAGTTACCAGGCCTTGGAAAAGCAACAAGTAATAAGCACTGACTGTGGGTCAAGTACAAGGCTGGATCTTCTTCCTGTTATTTCTTTAATCCTCGCCATAATTCTCCGAGATAGGTATTGGTATTCCTGTTTCACAGATGGAGATAACAGCTCAGAGCAGGGGAGCAACTCTCTCAAGGTTGCCAATAACCGGCAGAGCAAGGATTCGAACCCAGCCAGCTCTCACAGGCACCAAAACATCCCCTTTTCCAATATACCACGATACAACTACAAAACAAAGTGAGTAGGATATGGTACCACACACTTGTAATCCCAGCTGCTTGGGAAGCTGAGGCAGAAGGACATAAATTTCAGGTCAGCCTGGGTGACTTAATGAGACCCTGTGTCAAAAATAAAATTTAAAAAGGGCTGGGGATATAGCTCAGTGCTAGAGAGTTGCCTAGAACATGCAAGGCCCCGGGTCTAATCCTCAATACCACAAAAATCAACAAAAAGCAGGACAAGTTCCCTCATGTGGTTCAAAAACAGTCAGAAGCCAGCACACCTAGAGAACTTCCCAAATATCTTTCCTGCTCAGCTTTTCTGGAAAAGAACAGTGAGTGACCATCTAGGAGAACAATACCTATTTGAATGTGGACATCTGCTATGTTTAGGGTTATTTTCATTTTTTACAAGTTTTACCACACCTCATTATTTTTGGGGTGAATTAGTCTCTCTTAGTTCTCTGAGTTTGTGGCACTTAAAGTATTTCTCAAGCTGGGGAGGGGAGCCCATGCCTATAATCCTAGCACTCTGGGAGGCTGAGGCAAGAGTAACATAAATTCAAGCCTAGCCTTTGCAACTTAGCAAGTTAGCAAGACCCTGTCTCAAAATAAAAAAGGGCCAGTGATGTAGTTCAATGAGAAAGTACTGAGTCCAATCCACAGTAGTAGAAAAAAAATTCCCCCCACTAGCTGAGTTATCCTGGTGATGCCTACTTCTGTCCCCAGATGTCAGTCCCCAGGAGCACTCCAGGTGGGGCATAGGCAGGGCAGCAGGAGTCCAGGGACAAGTGGTTTCTTACCCAAGTTGGGGTCATATTCGCTGATAAACCTCTTGGTCAGGAACTTCACAGTCAGGGCTGCAGGAAGCAGATGAGAGGTGTTCAGTGTCCACTACTATGTGTGGCCTAGGAGGTAGCACTTCTGTGACCTGTGGCTGACACCAGGCTTGAGAAGCTCAGAAGGAACCAGAAATGTGGGGGCCAAGTTCCATCTAGCTGCACCCCAGATTTTTTTAATAGCAAGAAGGCAATGAGAGGCCAGGATAAGGGGGTGTTGGTAGAGACCCAAAAGAGGCAGTCAGGACTTGTGAACTACTAACTTGGGGTCAGCCTGGTGAGACCCCCCCCCAACCGAAGGGACCTCTCCCTACCCTGGACAAGTCACACATATTCCAAAGCATGGGACATTTATTCCGGCTTTGGCTGCAATCCAGAGAGACAGTGAGAGCAGAGCTAGGCTGTGGGCCATGGAGGGTCTGAGCCCCAATGGCCAAGATCCCAGACAAGGTCCAGGTGAGATCTGTGTGGCAGAGATCACACCTGCGTCCTGGAGCTCACATCTCAGGACTCGCCTCTCCGAGGGCCTCCTAGTCCCCTGGATATGCCACAGAACAGAGAATCCAGGACAAAGTTCTCAGGAGTAGTGGGCATTGAGAGACTCTAATTCTGTCTGGAGTTTAGCCACAAGAAGGTAAGGTCAGCCAGCTGCCACTGGACCATTACAAAATCAGGAAACCTTTCAGTTCTTTCCTAGAATTCCTCACAGGGTCAGTTTGCCAATGAATACTTTGGGAATAGATTTTGAAATTTAAATTCCTTCATTCATGTAGTCACTGGTTAAACTGGACCAGCTGCAGAGCTACAGACAGCAAGCTGATATTCAAAGGGACAAGGATAAATCTTTTCTGGAGAAAAACCAGATCCTGGGATCCCTCTTGGAGCCAAGAAGGCTGGCTTCAAAATCAGAGTAGCCACTTGCTCCCTGTGAGTTTTGGGAATCTCGGAGAAGGCAGCCGACAGCTCACTGAGCAGAGCAGGACACTCGCTGATAGCCATACCAGGAGAAAGAGCCAGTGGAGGGGTATCCTGTGTCCCCCCACTTGTAGCTGCCTGCAGTTGTCAGAGGCAGGGAGAGACCGACCCTCTATCTGGGGGTCTCTGCCCAAGGTCTGGGTTCATCAAAGATAAGTCCTACAGACCGGTGTGGCACAGAGACAAGGCCTGGATGTGCAGACCTGCAGGTCCAGGGTTCTAAGAGGCTGAGGCAGGATGACTGCCAGTTCAAGACCAGCCTGGGCAACTTAGTAACTTAGCAAGACCCGGCCTCAAAACCCGGCCTTACTTAGTAATTTAGCAATCCCAGCCTGGGCAACTTAGTAACTAGCAAGACCCTGCGCCTAAGGTCCAGAGTTTGATCCTCAGCACCAAAAAAAAAAAAAAAAAAAAGTTAGGGATGTGGCTCAGTGCAAAGGCTCTGGGTTCAATGCCCAGAGAGGTGTGTGTATGTGTGTGTGTGTGTGTGTGTGTGAGGACAAGTCCCAGCCACTTGGGACCACAGCCCAACATATTTCCAGAAAGTCAAGACAGAGAGGTGTGACTTGAAACCAATAAGGTTGATAAACATACACAGCTTGTCCCAGGATCCCAAGGAACTCGGGTGGCCCCTGCCTGAGAAATCCCGAGGGCCAGGGACTTCCACTAACTTCCTTCAGTGGGGGGGGGGTGTGAGCAGTGACAACCTGAATCAAGAGTAGCAAGGCTGTGAGCAAGTTCAAAGATCGGAGCCCAACAGGGCCCTCTGGTGCCAGCCAGCCAGGCTGGCTGCTGGCCCCAGGGAGAGGAGAGGGGAGTGGGGAGGCAAGGTGGACTTGCAGACCCAAAGAGAGAAGATACAGGGTGTAAGAGAACACGGTGGGGGAGCCACAGCCATGCAAAACGGAGACAGAGGGAAGAGGCAGTCAGGAGCAGAAGACAGTGGAGGTGGAGGGACTGAGCTCAAGGGTGAAAGAGCTGAGAACCAGCTAAGGAGAAAATGAGGCAAAGAAAATTCATAGGGGCTCGCCCAGCCTAGTTAGGCAAAGAAGCTCCCAAAGTCACAGCGTCCCGTCTCCACCCCAGCTCGCGCCACTCACCGGACTTGCCAGCCCCGCGGCGCCCCAGGATGGCCAGGTTGACCTCGAGGGGCACGCTCGGGGGCCCAGTGCTCGCGCGGGGCTTTCCGAACACCGAAGTCATGGCCACAGCGGAGGGCGACACGGAGTCGAAC